GAGTGTGTTGCTTTCGTGTCATGAAAGTTGAGCACAATTCTCCTTGTATTTTTCACGCTTAACACACTAAATTGTTTGGAATATTTCATTTTTATTGTTTGACGATTCTCCTTCAATTTCAAACAGTTTGTGTTACATATGACAACCAATCACTCAATACAATTTTACTTCAATACATGACATGTTTCTTGAGATATCGTCTCCACAACGAGTGTGTCGTTTTTGTTCCACGAGAGTTGACTTGAATTCGGCTTGTATTGATCGCTCTTAATACGCTTCATTATTTCGGTTATAATAAATTGATTAATCCTTGATTCCTCTCCAAATTCCACAGATTTGTGTTATCTATCTAGTGTAATCAATATGCGAAATTTCAATTCAATGCAAGAGATACTTTATTAGTTATTTTCTGGAAACCGAGTGTGTTGCTTTCGTGTCATGAAAGTTGAGTTAAATTTGCAATTGTATTTTTCACGCTTAATTGTTCGGGTTATTTTATTTTTATTGTTTCACGATTCTTCTCCAATTTCAAAAAGTTTGTGGTACCTTTGACGACCAATCACTCAATAATATTTTACTTCAATACATCACATATTTCTGGAGATAACGTCCCCACAACGAGTATGTCATTTTTGTTACATGGAGGTTTACTCAAATTCGCTTTGTTTTTTTGCGCGCTTATTATGGTATATTGTTTCGATTGTAATGATTTTATTGATTAATGATTCCTCTCCACATTCAACAAATTTGTGTTATCTTTCTTGTTTAATCAATATGCGAGATTTCAATTCACTGCAACAGATACTTCTTGAGTTGTTCAGTCAACACACAAAAGCACACATTGAAGCCACGAATTACTTTTGGCATAGTTTCTTGTGCAGCTTCTTTATTTCTCCTAGGCCAATTTCTTGACCGTTCTTGATCGCCCCTAGAGGTACATACCTCTAGGGGCGACCCTTATTGATCGCCCCAAGAGGTACATATGACCACAGATACCTCTACGGGCGACCGTTCTTGATCGCCCCTAGAGGTACATACCTCTAGGGGCGACCACTATTATCGCCCCTAGAGGTACAGATACCTCTAGGGGCAACTCTAGGGACGACTGTTATGAACGCCCCTAGAGGTACAGATACCTCTAGGGGCGACTGTTATGATCGCCCCTAGAGGTACCTATCACCAAAGAGACATTCACACCTCTATTTTTGGCGAAATGTGCAAAATGTGCAACATAACGGGTGTATACTATTATATAAAATTTCTCTTGTATCAAAACCAATTTTTTTTGGCGGGGGGACCGGGAGGAGGTGTAATTAATAAATTTGGTAATATTTCCTTATGAAATTTCGTAGGTTTGTCTTAGACATCAGGACCAATCAAGTAATTTCTCATCAACACAACATGTACTTCTTGACTTATTGTGTCCGCAATGAGTGTAATTAATTGTATTTCAATTGGGATTGCATTTCTCTCACTTGACACACTACATTGTTATGCGTGTATTATTTCTAGTGTTTAATCATTCCTCTTGACATGCAATAGGCTTGTGTTATATATCATGTTAAATCACCAGATGTAATTCCAGTCCTATACATGAGGCATTTCTGGAGTTATTGTTGGAACAACGAGTATGTTGTTTTCGTTCCATTAAAGTGTACTTTAATTCGGGTTGTTTTTTGCGCTCACTGCTATCTATTTTCGGGGTTGTATTAAATAAATTTGCTTGTATTTGTTAATTTGTTAATTGTGTTGGTCTGTCTAAGACATCAGGACCAAATAGCCGATTAAATAATTAATTACTTGCGTAAATTGTAATTTAATATTATGAATATTATAATTTATTGTTGCAAATGTATAACTTTTACCAACATGAAATAAATGCTAATTCGTTCAAGTCAATCAGACTATCGGCCCCTTCGTTTCAGAAAAATTGTTCGCTCTGAAAATTGCGGGATAGAGTCTGTGTAGATGTCAACATTCTGTTTGAGTAAAACTATACCTTCCAAGAAACAAAAAGTGGACCAATATATGTGTCTGCATGGGCCCGACGAAGAATATTATTGAAAGCCACTTTACAAATGTTCATTGTAAGAAATAAGGATCACATAAAAGGCGAGAGTACTTACTGGTTTCTTCAGCTTTTGTAGACGCACCCGGTGTATACTGCTTAAAAGCTCTTACTCTAAATAACAGAGTAAAAATATTGCTTCTTTAAGAACTCTTTCTTTTTACACAGTAGGCCTATATTGTAATATTTATTTAGGCCGTCTAATTCGAGCTATAACTCGATTGCCTCTCTATTGTCGGGTGTTTTTAGAGCTCTGGAAATGTCAGGGGCTTCAGGGGATGACCGACATTTTCATTCAAAGCGTGCTGAAAGTAAACGACTGATCTAGAGTCTATCAAATAATCCTTTGCCTCGAGAACTTTCCCAAACTGTCTTGTTTGTGTAATTTGCACTACATGAAAAGAAAACTGAAAGCTAGGTCTGAATATTGCTGCATTTCCAACACATTCCCAATATCTGACAATGGCCGTGTGAAATTAAAATAATGTGATATGTTTATTGAACCTTTGGAAATAAATAACACTCGCCGTGGGTGTTCTATAGTTAGTTAATATGCTGACAAGAAATGCGTAAATATAGACATTATTTTGACTGTCATTTATTCATAATAGTTCATTATTAATTATTAATGGAATAAACAAGTACGTTTAAAACCGGCTTGGGGCCTGGACGCTGATAACTTGTCTCGGGTCATTATCAGTGACCAGCAGGCATCCAGCTGGTTTTAAACCTACTTGTTTAATACCGACCAAGCACATGTTTATTCCCATACATAATTTTTTATATACCTCTCGGTCAAGTCAAAGCAAGTAAAAAAAATAATACATTTCCAACGATTTTATTCAACAATTTTACTTCATGTTTTTACAACACCCATATAGCTATGTTTATGGTATGTGCCTCTCGCGATTAGTACTATAAAATCATCTTAAAGGAGATTGGCGCGCGCGTCGCGCACTGTCGAAGTGGTTCAGAACGCGGCGGTGCCGGTGCCTTTAGGACTCTATGAAATACGGAATCATTGTAGTATTACGCATGCGTATTAGATTGTGAATGTTCAATCAATTAAAGGGTTTTTAAAAGGGACAAGATTTCATAGGAGTCCAAATTTCATGTGAAACCGGAAAAGTGTTTAAAGACCAGCTGGTTTGTGTTTTATCAACCCTTCAAACCACCCACGTGACGGGCTCTCGACCAATAGGAATGGGTAAACTGTCTCAGGTACTTATGAATGTATTATATTGTAAAGACTGTACGAGGTATAATCTTCTATTAAATGCAGATGGGTTTATGCTACATGCAGCGAACGAGGAAGTTCAGCCCATAGGATGAGGACTAACTGAGCCGTCGCCTATTATATCCCGTATCAAACAGAACGTTTGTAGTACATGCTGCCGTTGCCCTGTGTTAGCTGTCAGTGTGTAGGTATGAGCATTTAAAGAAGAACGTTAAACGATCGAATCACAAAGAAACAAGTTACAGTAATATACTCAGAATGTGTCGGCTCATCTACCAAAAGTATAGTAACCTGTGAGCCTGTTAGAGGATGCACACTTGTAAAGGCTACATAATTATCCAGTGGAACCAATGATAAGTACCCAAAAAAACGGGGGAAATACAGCTCTCTAATTTGCCCTTTGTGCTTAAAAAAAAACATTTGGCGTTAAGACATGCTCCAATAAGAAGTCTTTATTAGAAAACCAGTTCATCTCTTTTCATTTCCATTGCATAATAGAATGTCTCACGCGTCCAGTATCATCCAAACTTCTCCGAAATGCAAGTTCAAAGTCTGGAATCTCAAGGTTTTTTGTTTAACCCCGTAGTGCAAGGGTCTCAAATCACTCGTCTGAAAGAGAAAGTGGGTACACACAAATCGTGATCTGATCGGCGTAATAAGCATTTTTAAAATTGTACCTAGGCCCTTAATGTCTGTAACCCTAACGTGAACAATAGGCCTAGACTTCTAGGTGAACCTTGGCAAGGCATCGCTTGCTTCAACTGTCCAAATTGGACAGCCAAAGCAACGCACGCTTATGGAACAGCAATACCAGCAAACACGCGTTACTATCAGAATATCGTACTTTTGTGTCTTCATATTCTGTGCTTGGAGTTGTAAGCAATTTTTCAATGAACGTGAAATCGCCAAGCGTTGTTTTCTTATCATCCCGCTGTATATGAAGTAGTGCCCAAGTAATGTAGCCAACATCTTTTAAATTTATGTCGTGGAGGCGGCGGGCGAGTGCGTCTCTACGTACAAAAATTGTGACAAGTCGGTTTGCCCAGATCGTATTGCGACGTCACATATTTCATAGGAATAGAGATGGCAATAGATATTAGAATTATAGTTATACATGTATGATCCAATGTTAATGGAATACTGAAGTGATTTGCGTATTGAAATCCTAGTTAACGTGCATCTCGAAGAAAAATTCCGCAATAATTTTGTCCTTATGGGGCAATTCTATCGAACACAGCATAAAACCATTGTGCTTAAAAGGTAAGTGTAATTTTTTGGTCTGGTCTGGTCTGGTCTGGTCTGGTCTGGTCTGGTCTGGGTTTTTTATGTTAGTAGAACATTTTTTTTATCGATCCACGTTATTACTATTCAAACCCATTCCTCGATTTCGTAAAGTGCTCCCTTACGAATTCTAGATGTGAATACAGGTATTTGTCCCAATCCTGTACTATGCTCATTACCAATCAGCGAACCTACGTATCATCACATACAACATTCAACGGCTTCAGACGAATTAACAATTAGTATCCATACGGCATTGGAAATTTAATCTTCACCCCAAAAGCTGCACCGAAGGCCTTAGTTTCGATGCAGATTTTAAATTAGTGTAACTGGACACAGAAAAGTATCCCTATTATCCGACATTCAATGACACCTTACGATGTAAAATGACCACGCCATGTTTTGAAAGACGCGTTTTGTATTAAGTGCATACATATTTTATTTAAACGACACACACAAGTACATGATGACCGGGTCCTTTCCTCTCCAACACATTATGAGTCTATATTGAACTTTGACAACTGTCTATAGGGTTACATCAGCTTACAGTTTAACAGTTTATGACAGACCTTAAGTAGTTTTCCAAAACAAAATCTAGATCTATCAGCAAATACGATTCTTGGCAGTGATTGTACAGAAACGCTCAAGGCTGTCTGCCCCATGGGTTTAATACAGACACAAGACTGTCCTCTTAAATCTAAACACCATGTAAACACATTCGTTTAGGGTAGCATCATCTCAGTTCAGCATTCTCTGTTTTCCTGCGCTACTTTCAAAAATGGAACTCCATTTATAGAATCACACGCTTACCATGCAGTTACACATCGTTTTTTAATCATGAATTTCCATCCACGTACCTTTTAAATACCTGTTAAATCTCCCTGTTAGTAAATTACGAAAATATAACGTGTTTTTATCATTTTGTTTGATACTCGTACTTTTGTGACACTTACAAATATTAGTTATAAAACATTTAACCACGGTTAGTTATAGAACAAGGTGAAGCGCAAAATACTGTGTAATATACCAATATCTTGAATTCCGTTAAAATACACCGTGACATACTTGGTGTTAAAATTACGCCGGTGTCCATAATTTGTCTCTTAACACTGGTGGTGTACGTCTCACACCAAATGTTTGTACAGTGAAAGTTTTTTTTTTCTTTCAAAAATACATTTGTGCTCACATGACCGCGTATCTTTCATATGAATAAATATATACATTACACGAAACCAAAATGTGAGGTTTATCGATTATACTGTCAATTATTACATCCAAATAATGTAGGTTAATTACACAACGGTAAGCTGGATATTTTTACACAAACAAGAGAAAAAATAAAAAGACTGATAAACGACTGTATACGACTATAAAGATACAAAACACATTCAGCCAAAACAATTTTTTTCTTTTTCTATCCGCCGCTGACGTGACCACCGCTAACGTGAACATTATATTATGCCAGGCAAGAACATTATATTCGTTAAAAAGAAAAGGTTTTTTTTCCTACGATCGTGACAATCCAAGGCCAGAATGCGGCAAAAGTATATTGGGTTACCATTGCATCGAGAGAAAAAATATATATATAGGCCTATATATGATTTAAAGCGGCTACTTTATCCCCGGACCACGGGAAAGGTGATATCTATTGATATCAGTTGCACAAACCGAGTAAAACAAATATACGTTAACGAAACAAAAATTTGTTTTTCAAACCAAAACAATCACGGACATTGGTAGAATGACAACTATATCTGTCAAATAAAGACTTAAAGCCTTAATTTACTTCATAAAATACGGACTCAGAGACTTTCACGTCAGTCTAAAGTCTCGGACGCTGTGAAAACTTAGTTTTAAACTGATGGGGCAACATTTCGTAAAACACTGTAACTTACTTTTGCACCAAAAAGCTACACATTAATTAAATTATACATTGAATATAGAGTTGCATGGATTTAATACTTATCAGGTTTTTGTTGCAGCTCCGTTAACAGCCTTACATGAAACAACAAAAAACACTACCCGCAACTAAATATGCATGAGAAAATCATTTTAAATTCTGCATGAGCAAGAAGTTGCCAGCACTTCTTTCGTATAAAAAGTGAGTGAAACCGAACGCATATACAAAGGGACATCTTTCATTATGTATAAGAATTGACGCAGCTCGCGATAAAGAAGTCTAAAATAAAACTGAATAAAATACGAGCATGTTAATGAAATTAACAAGGAAGATACAAGTGCATTTATTCAGGCTGACCAAAAAAATGCAACCCTGAAACATATACCTTTTTCCAAAAACGTGATCGGGGAATTTTTATGTTTTGAATATCAGATTGAAGCTGAGAGCTTTGTCTTCCAAATACTGGGAAAAAAATCATGAAAACAGCACATTGGGTTGCTGAGAAAATGCCAATTATGTAAAAGAAGTGATTTGTCATCCTTTCCAATGATGCTTCAAACAGTGAAACATGTGACTGTAAGCTCACTGAGCAAGTATCTTTCATTTTGTGCAATTTCTTTAATATTTTGACAAATTTATGATGCTGAAAAGGTTTAAAATAGAACTAAAAGAACAAGATATCTGTTCAGGTGGAAAAATAAAAGATATTTCCATCAAATTCATTTGTACTCTTGTCATAACATTATGTGCCGTGTTGTTTGCGCCACATGCATTTCGTGCACAAATTGGTACTGTGTAAATCCCTTAACTGTGGTAATGCCATTGGAATGGACCAAAAAGGAGTTGTATTACATAAATGGCATTTTTGTCAGCAACCCAATGTGCTGTTTTCATAATTTTCCAGTATTTGAAAGACAAAGCTCTCAGTTTTAATCTGATATCCAAACATAAAAAAATCACAGATCACCTTTTGTTTTTTTAAGGCAAATGTTTCAGGGTTGCTTTTTTGGGGTCACACTGGACAGCAGATAGGCCAAGTTTAAGCATGCTGTCTCTTTAACTTCACGTTTTAAAGATCTTCCCATTTTTTTCCCACTAAAAAATCTTTGTTATCTCAAATTCTGCATACGGTATTGACGTCACCGTGACGTTTTACGTACAAGCCTTCAACATCCTTGCTTGCGGGTGCAATCTTAATAGGCCTATATACAGTCCTTGAGTGAATCGTTCAAGATGGTGCTTTTAAAAAAATATCCTCCTTGCGATAAAGCAACACAACAAAACGTTTATCGATGTGAAGACAAAGACAGAGGAAGCAGGTGGCTGATGAGGTAATGACAATTCTTTTAAATAAACTAGAACTTTGATGAGATTTGAAAGCCATTTGCATCAATTTTCTATTAAAGAAAAGAAAAGAAAAGAACTTTTTCTTGGTCCCTGAAAAAATAGTTTATGTTTTACAAAACTCAAGTGTGTTATTTTCACATAACTTTTTATATTTACATCACTTTGTACACAACACGTTTTTACATTTTTGTTATTATTGTTTTGTTTTTTTACAGTTTCTGGAGGCAATGCTAATCATGGAACAACCGCATATGGGCTACATTTGCTTCAAAAACATGCATGGAGGAATGGCGCATTGAATAATTGGTCGATGGATGTAGTGAAGCAGCAGCGAAGCGCATGGAAGTATTTTTTGTAACTTACTCTCGTAGACATTTAACTGTCGTATAGTAATCCTTATTTAGTCCATTTGAATGGTAATCGTAACGGTGCTTAACAATGTATCGTCTTCTATGAAATGATTATATAACATTTACAAATTCTATATAGTTCTCTCGACACCAGGAACACAGGTTAAGAATGGAATGTATACTTATATTAATCATACAGGACGTTTGTATTCTTCATGCAGTGACACCGTGTGACACAGGATAACACTCGTACCGATAGAAGCATCTCTTGTCAATTCGATTTTTTTCCTTCGAATTTTCAATAAAGAACATGTTTGACCCATTTTAAATTTAAATTCGATACAATATCGAATCATTAATGCTGACATGTCATCGGGTCACCATTTTGTCTGACAATTGATGCGATATTAAATTTGCGAAAAAAAGTGACTTGTTGCTGACATGGCCTTTCAGATTCATATACATGCTGAACGGGAACATTCAAGTAAGCACGTAAACGTCTCGTTATGTCAGTGGTTTGTTTGGTCTCTTTGATCCACAGATGTATAATACCATGACACAAAACCCCACCATACACAGCACAGACGTGTAGCCGTTTTACCTTAACTCCATGGTATCACTATCATATCAGTGACAACACGAAGTAATATTATATGAGACACACACTGCTTCCCATCAAACGTATATAGGTAAACAATTATAACAAGTAGGTTCACTAGCTTTCTTACACACGGTATAGAGACTGAAAACATTATACAAACTCCATTATAATCAACTGCTTGACTATCATTTTATACGACTTTCAATTTTTCTTATTTTTAAGCACCGATCTGTAGATATACAAATATTATGAGAAGCATAGACAGTATTGTATTTAACAACTTAATGATTTCCCCCGTTAGTTTACCAACGGCAACTGGGGAAAAAATATGAAGAATTTACAGGAATCTTCAAACATCCAATCGGAAGCGACTGCACAAGATACAACAGTATAATCTCTGTCTGGTTCCCACCTGAAAACCCAGAATATTCAAGCGTCGTAATTCACGGAACCAGTCTCATCCATCAGTCATTTTTCTGAGGCAAAACTATGCAGTTTACCAGTTTAATTTGGTTCTGCGTGAGAGTCGCGGAACCGGTTCCATCCAGATGACACCGGTTCAATCCGGTCCAACAGCTGCTCAGTGATCAAAGTACGTTTCTCCTATAATCTCCATAGATGAAGCAGTCTGCATCCGCGGAGAGAAGTAAAACTTCTCAGTATGTAGCGACCTCCAACTCACACGAATGTATTCTTGCCGGTCATGTCGACGAATGGCGGGTTCTCATCAGATAATCTGGTAATAGCTTCATGAGCCTCTTTGATGACCAGTCGCTGCTGCGGCTGCCTCTGCCAGCAACCCAGCATAACCTTATAGACCTCTTTGGGGCACGCCTTCGGGCAGTCCAAAAGAATACCGTTGTGGATGTACTCGATCACCTGCAAAAATATTAGTCCAGAAAACCCGATCAGGCGAATAAAATGCTTTGATTTTGTGTTTATGTAGAAGTAGCAAGGTTCTATTGTGTGATGTTTGATTGAATTCTGAATGGCTTGGCTAGATAGCCTGAACTACGTGCCTAAGTTGGATGTGGTCAGACTTAATGTGTTTGGTTTTACTTGATATATTGTCATTCCCTCCTATTTTGCAATTGGAAGTGAGTTAATTCTGGCTTGCTTTGTTTTGACTTGACAGTTAAGTTTAGGTTATACAATTAAGGAGACAGGCTTAGTAAAATGCAACAGTCTAATATACATGTCCAGGAGGATAGCTTGAATTATGTGAGCCTGAGCCATGAGCAAATCGGTTGGACTACTTCCTGAGGTAAAGTTTGTGATAATGCGCATAAGGGCAAAACTTGAGCTGTTTTCTATCCAGAAAAACGATCTTTACTAATCATAAACAGTGCTAAATGGACACCACAAGGTATCTATATGGATACACTTGACTTTAATAGTTCGATACAGATACAACTTCAATTTTTTTCTCAAAAGCAGCAAGTTGGTAACGGTTCAAAATGACTGGAGATAAACTTGTAGTGGTTGTTACGCCAGTGTCTCACCTCGTGGTTTGAGAGTCCGTACCAAGGTTGCTTGCCGTACTCGAAGATCTCCCACAGGACCACGCCGTAGCTCCACACATCGCTCTCGATGGAGTAAGTCCGGTAGATGATGCTCTCTGGTGGCATCCAACGGACCGGTAGCATGGTGTGGCTACCAACCTGGTGAGTAAAGGGAACATGTAATATGCTTCTTTGGCAGGCTCCAAACAGGTTCGGGTAGCAGAGTAGTAACACTTCTACACCTGTTAATGATCCTGGCCTGGAATCCCACCATGTGCAATAGGGCCTCGACATCCATGTTTGAAGAGGAAATGTTATGTAGCCCAAACTGTCCAGCAATGCAACACAACATAATATCTGTATATTTAAGGTTCTATGTATAATAACATTATACAGCTGCTATTTCCAATCATCTGCACATATACCAAGTCATCATTCTGGAGCCATAGTTATTGGGGTGGTATTAATTTAAGAGGGCTATTAATTAGGATGAAGAGGGCTTCAGCCCCATCAGCACCTCCACCCCCTGCGCCTCCCCCTCCGGCCCGCTTCGGCTATTCCACCACTGTATTCCTCAGTACGGCTACAAGTATTAGACACAACATGATATTGCTGTTTAGCGACATGGTTACCCAATAAGGCAATATTAAATGGCGCAGTATTGTTAGTATTCTTGCAGCTACAAGGAAAAAGAACATTTTACTACACGGTGCTACCGCAACGTCACATGAAATGGTAATTTCTTTAATTGGTAAGTATGCCTACCCTATAGTAATCCGTGCTGTATACATCACGCGACATGCCGAAGTCGGCTATCTTGACCACCAGCTTATCTCCCACCAGGCAGTTCCTGGTGGCCATGTCTCGATGGACGAAGTGTTGGGAAGCCATGTACATCATACCGGACGCGATCTGCTTGGAGATGAAGAGCAGCTCGTTGACTGTCAGCGGGAGCAGGGCGGGGTTCTTGCTCAGGCCCAGGCACTCAGCGTCCGGTCCACGACACCTGATGGATTGAGATACGGGCGGTGAGTTACAGAGTTGCAATCAGGTCAACAAAATATCAACCACAAAACTCCTAACAAGTCAAATCGCGTAAGTCACATAGTTAGTCCGTTTTCAAGTGAGTTCACAAGCTATTTGAATGAACTGTGACAAATTTTCCATGTCAAGAACGGAAAAGTAACAATAACTTGACATGACGCAATTTTAAAGAGACAAGAAATGTCCAAGTATGTTAAAATCCCCAAAACATATTTTTATGGAACAAATATCGCAAATCCCTCACCTCACGTGATCATTTAACTCCTAAAATACCCCAAGATTTGTTTTCGGCAACCATGTCACAGTACACCCAATTGTTGGCGTCAATCTCGATTACGAGCCACACCAACAACAATCAATCAAGGCTGTGATGGGTGACCACACACCCACCTGAGGAAGTTGTTCAAATCACCGTTCTCCATGTACTCGAAGACCATCAGGAATGGCTCCTTCTCCATACAGACGCCGTAGAAGGTCACGATGTTTGCCTGTTGTAGGTTGGTCAAAAGCTCCGCTTCCCGCTCGAAGTCTTTCCTGGCATCGCCGATGGAGGCGTCTTTCAAGGTCTAGGTGAGTTAACAAACAAGAAATGCAGCTAGAATTGCGAGCGAGTTGTAGGCAAAAGCTCACTAGTCAATCACAAGTCAACCACAAGGTATGGTCGGGTCTACAGTCAAGTGACAAGCTAGATAAAAAATAAATGTTTAAAACGGCAAGCCTTTGTAAATGTTTATACCAATGGTGGGAAATATTGTGATTTGAATTACAGCTGTGGTCTTTGACCCATATACGTACAGTTCACAGAGTTAACCTTAAAAACCTACATAACATGCATTCTGGGTACTATAACCTCTAAAATCGGCCATAAGACTTTAGCGTAACACAAGACACCACAACAAAGCCAGTAAGTGATCAGCAAACGTTTTAATGACGGGCATGCATGTTTGAAAGCAGGTTTATTTTTTTAAGTATTAAGACGCTACTACATGTATCTAAGAGGTTTCGTGTGACACCAATTTGAAAGTTTGAAGCAAAACCCATCTTGCACATGGGTGTTACATGAATAAGAACATTATCTTTAAAAGGAATTGAGCATGCACTGTTCGTTTGAAAGGGGTCGCAAGAAGAGTCGTGAAACCTGTATTCTTTTCTGTTTTTGTTTACCTTAACAGCAACCATTGTGACGTCGCCCTCTGCCGGCAAGTTCTCACAGATTCCCAGACATACGACGCCGAATGCTCCTTCTCCTAGCTCGCCTAAAAAGCGCATCTGGTCCCGACTGATGTGGTGGACAGCTACAACAACAAATGAAAACCTGTATTTTTTTGTTTTTCGTCATGTTTAGGAATGCCCTTCCGGCCTCGTACTGTATTATACATTTCGGTGTCCATCTAGGTTGGTCCTTCATGACAAAATGACGTCATTTTATTATTTGCAACAGTATTTGCGAGCTGTCTACTCTTGTCTTTTTACTGAAATGCAAAGGGGATCGTTAAAGCCCGCGTGACATTAATACGTCAAGTGAATGAACAGCCCCAGATCTAATGTAAATGGAACAATGAAATTCCATCTCTAAACGAAAGCTTTTCGTCACTAGAGGCCCATATTTGGCGCAAATTCGTGTGCGTTGTTCCCCGTGTTGGTTGTGCCAATGTGCCAGATACTTTACTTCAACTTATATTTCACGTCTATAGCGTTGCAAGAGTGTGAAATGTCGGTACGAGCAAGGGCGGATCCAGAACACAATTTTGGGGGGGCCAAAAAAAATTTTGGTCCCCCCAAAAAGTGGGTGAAAAAATTACGGCGTGGGGTTCGGGGCCCGCTTAAGGGCCCCGAAAATTTTTTGGATTCTAGATGCTCTGTGGTGCGATCTGAGGCAATTTCTGACCACTTTAACCAATGTTTTTTGAGGAAAAGATGGTGGTGTACTCATTGCTTGCCTTTATTGCATTGTCACATAAAAAAAAAAAAATTGGTTTCGTTTGGGGGGGGGCCATGGCCCCCTTTGGCCCCCCCCCTGGATCCGCCCTTGGGTACGAGGCGACCTACCCGTGCCATTCCTAGGTAGGTAGTTGGGGTTGGGGATCATGCTGACCATCTCACTCTTGTCCCCTCGGCCGTTCTCCATGAAGTTCATGACGCTAAAGGGAGCCGCCGTACCGTCCTGGTTGATGCCCCGGTACAGATGCCGACTCTTGCGGTACTTGTAGCCCACGCCACTAGCCAGGAGGATCCCCACGATTAGCACCACCAAAATAATGGTCACTTTCTGTCAGGTTGGTATGATGGGGGAAAAGGTCCATGAAATTCTAATGGAAAACTGGTAGGCTTCTACCAATACACTCTGAACACGCTCGTATAAAATGGTACAGTCCTCTGTTTATTATGTCAAAGTGAATATGTCATTTCCATTTTTGAATTCTGGAACAAATGTCATTCATGTCACGAACTGTACAGTATATCCAAAAAAAAGTGTCCGTCTAAAACTATTATTGAAATAACTACAAAACCATGAGGTCAATTTTGAAAATGTTTAATTGTGCAGATACTCCTTATCATTGGCCTAAAACCATATGAGTTTCATTTAATTTCAGTCGCGCATCACTACACAATTATCAATTGATCACAACAACATTTTTGGACACTGTGACCAAGTTCCTTGCCTTGTTCAATTTTAGTTTTGTGTTAAGTAAGCTGTGTAGACCTAAGTAGACCTAAGCTGTGTAAAATACTTAAGTAAGCTGTGTAAAATTCTCCTGACGATGACCAGAGCAGGCTAGTCGAAACGTTGAGACCAAAGACAAGTTCTTTTAGAACTTAAAGCAGGACTGTTCTTATCAGAACAAAAACTACTCAGCGAAAGTTGATAATAAGCAGGACAAGTTCTTTTGAAGAACTAAATATCTTCTAAGCAGTAGTTATTACCACATGGGGTTACCGCAAACCGAAAGGATACCGATACTCCACCATGCAAAGCCTTAAATCTTATATAAAATCCTTCATTTAGTGAAAAGGGCTGCGTCAGCCTTTTTTCACAACATGCAGGATTTTACACAACTTAATTATCACATCACTGAAATAGACTAAAGCATGGACCTTGGTCACAGTGTCCAAAAATAGTGTTGTGCTCAAATTAAATGACTGAAAGTAAATGAAACTCATAGAGATTGAGGCCAAGATTTAGGAGTATCTGCACAACCAATACATTTCAAAATTGACCTCATGGTATTGTAGCTACATTAAAAACAGTCTGACGGACACTTTTTCTGGGACATATTGTAGCGTCATATTTATCCTGCAATTGTCAATTTCAGTCCCTACTGATTGTGTTGCTCATTGCAACTGATAATGCTATAGGTCACGAGAGCCAAAGTCAGTTTTGTCCAGTGCAAGTGTTAGGTTGTCGCTGTAATTAAGCTTGGCTGTCGACGATCATATATACGCATATGCTTTGAACCATGATCGTGCAAGAAGTACACACATTCCAGGTATCTTTCACATCAATGAAACACATATCAATCGGCCAACACTAACAACAGAATGCAGGTAACTTTTGTTAGAGTCGCTGCGTGGTGGACTACTGGTTCTAAAATTGCCGATTCTTTTTTTTTCTAAATGTGATCAAATCTTCCCTTTTCCAGAAAATCCAGAGTTTTCGATTAAAACGTGCAGTGGGACTCTAATCTGAAACTTGATGCCAAAATAAAAATTATAAATCGTATTAACTGTGTGCTCTATTCCTTATGAAATCGCCATGGAATAATATGGTACCGTTTCTGCGTTAAAAAAAAGCATAAACCAACTGAAGTAAAATGTATTTCAGCTTATTTTCATTCCTCATTCTGTCATATTTCCTACCGAAACTCAATGTGAATATTTAATGTGTGAAGACGTTTCTGTGGTTTCCTACACTGACAAATTAATCTGAAATATGCAATATTCGGTGTTGATCTTAGTAGCAACTGTAGTTACTTTGGTGTTTAGTTTTAACGACATTTTTGCCCCTGGGAAATGTATGTACCAGGAACAGCAAATAGGCATACGTGTAGGCAAACAAAAGACATTTGCGAACATTATAATAAGAGAATGACACATAGTTCCTCAGCAAGTGTTTTACTTTTGAGCGTGCAACATCATCTTCAAACACGGTGTGCAAATTGAGAAGAGGAGAAACAATGTAAAATGGAAAGTCAACGTGACAGTGTCACCGTGTAAGAGAGATCATGATAAAACAACATTCATTCAAGAAAACATAAAATATAGCTTTTGAAAACTGAATATTGGAATTCAGACATTCTAAGCCTTCCCTCATTTTTCTTGACTTGAACAAAATATTGTATCGCGAATATTCCAAAGCTCGCGTGATTTTTTTAATGCTTAGACTTTAACATCTCCCCGTCTTCATGTGAACAATTCTACGCTCCTGTAGCGTGACTTCGTTTTTGCGTATTAATTCGATGACACATAACTGGCCTTTTTATTTTCTCTCTACTTTTTGATCTTGTAAGACATTTAGGATTAATGCACAACCTGTCTGGCAACTTATAAGTCTCGGTGAGCCTGGAGTATGGTTCAGGAATGATGCCTTTCGGGTCACAAAACATTACATTGAAAGGACTGTCAGAGTGCTATACTTACTGTAATGAGTGAGGTAGATTCCGTGGGAATGGAGACGGAAGGGGGCAGTGCGGAACTCATGGGGGCGTTTGGGATCGGACTTTCCCGATCATCGGGGATAACATCGATCTTTTTCACTTTGAGGGGGCAGAACAAGAATGGAAAAAAACATGGCAACATAAAATGAATAAGAACTGAAACAAAAAGAGTCACCAGCATTCTCACAATAATTACATCAACGCTTGAAAAAAAAATAACGAGAAATCATAATTTTGTGAACAAAGATGAAAAACAGCCCTGCAAATGAATGAATTACAAATGGTTAAATGAATTATGGAGACTTCGGATTAGTTGACATGCATAAGCCATGGTGATGAAACGAACAACAACAGAGAATAACAGATCGTGATTAACAAGCATGCTGGAAATGAAAACAGAGAGAATCACGCCATGCAAACCAGTCACACTGAGGTTAAAATATTACCAGTTTCACAGCGACTGCGGTTGTTAGTCCACGTCACGAAAGAATATAAACAAAACCGCGTTTCTCTGTGCTGTCCACCTAAAAGTGCACTGGGCGTGGCACTGGATACGAATGACTGTGACGTGTCAGGGTCTTCATTCTGTGATTGGCCTAGCATTCATCTGATTTGCATACCTGCACCAATCGCATCCTCTGATTGGACGCACTGTAATATTTTTCTTCGTTTCTTTCGTGACGTGACCAAGAAAATACTTACTTGCATAGCACTATTTTTCTCCATCTCTTCCAAGGGTTGCAATGTTTCAATACGGGGACGATCCTTGACGGTTGTGCCGTGAGTTTTAGGAGTGTTCGGTGACGGGAATTTATCCCCTACACCGCATACGGGCAGCGTGAGAAATAAGACACAGGTATACACAAAAAGAGTAGAGTATCGTGACAGCACAGAGACCCGCTAAAATATGACGCACAGTCCCGAACTTTGTGAGATTTTGTCCGTTCTTTTGAAAACATGACGTGGTAAGACCTGGCAATAAGCGTATTTTCAAATAAGTGAGGAACCTGCACAGTTTTGCACATTAATTTTGTTCCATTCTATTTGGTCTTCTTGGGTAAAGTTAGACAGTTTTCTCAAAAAGACTTTCACTTTTTAATGCTTATGATTAAAGATTAGTGTCAAATAGGCCCCTTTTGCCGACTAAAAACAAAAATTGGCTGGACTCAGACCAGAGCCTTTGATTTTGCATTTCGATATCGAGATAACAAAATAACAAGTTGTGCATTTGAGTGACGAAAAAGGACGGCCAAAATCTCACAAGTCACCGAAGAAACGGAAAGGATGTTTCACCAGAACTAGGGTTAATTAGTAACTGAAAAGAAGCAAGTTGTTAATTTGCCTTAAACTAAAAGCACAGCAAAGTCAGTTTTATAGATATAAGTGAACGAGGATGCACTATCTGACCTTTGACACAGAAGTTACGTAATATCACAAAGCGGGAGAGACGCATAAGACGATCAATTCCCACCACCAGAAAAAATACATTCACCAAGATATTGACAAGATTCTATGAGAGATCTATATTGCCTTATTCAGAAAATTTCCGTTCTTTGCCAAATTATGTAGTATCGGAACAATTGTATGATTTGCATAAGCAGATTAAACGTCAAGTTTTCGGGCAAACTGCATCCTCGCTCACAATCTCAAACTCAATCTTAATGTCTGCTGGCAAATAATATATCTCAATTGCCCGAAACTCAAATCAAAAATCCGTTAGTATCAATAGTTGGAGAGAGCGGGCTCGTCTATCCTGAACTTTGGTTTTTGTTACAATGGTAAACCATCCTTGATTTGGGCAAAAACATCATCCCAAGCATCTATGCTGAATTTTGTTTTCTTTCATATCAAATTCCGATACATCATTATATCACTCACCAAAGAACAAATTAGACTAGCTCTTGGATAATAACCTCCCACCACAAATGAAAACGTATATGTAATAACCAATGGAAATATAAAAACATTCGAAGACATTCTACAGCGCCCATGTGAAAATGGGAGGCTTGTTGGCTCTTGGTGGCAGCAAATATATTCATCACGCTACTGATACTCGGTACGTACCAACCTCGTCCCCATTGCTTACTTTATTTCTAACCTCGTTTCTAATTGTAGCCCTGGATAGGAAACTTTCTTCCTGTATCCTGATTCGATACCGCAATTGGCTAGTAATGGATTTTTATCGTGTACTTGGTGTTGTTATTTCCAACGTGCACTACGTGTTTTCACGGTCATTGTAATTATAACGTCCACGCCTTCTCACAAATACTCTTTTCCTTTCCAATTTGCTAATATTAATACGAAATATGATATTGCACATTGGCGGGATAAGATTGTAACATTTTAACTTCGAAAACAATCGTGTTTTCGTAACTCACGGCGCGACGAATTGATTGTGTTTTTACCCCAGACACAGCATACAAAAACAAACGCTTATGTAACGTACAGGTAGGCACCAGACTATTCCTCATTTGCATACGTGTTCAAACATTTTGCACATGCAAAATGATCCAATATCAGGGTGAGAGAGCAGGTAGTGGTGGGCGCGTACTGCTCGACACCCCGGGGACGAGGTTGCGGTACGTACGCACTCGGGTACGGTACAATTTGCTTTAAGAGTGCTCACACAACGAGACAGAATCGGTTGGCCAAAGTTTTTGCTTTCACCAAGAGTCCCAAGTAAGTTTTGTTTACACCACAAAGAATTAGTTTCTTAATTATTTCACACAAAACACTCGTTATTATGGCGCTTTGCATCAACAAGAAAAATCGTATGCTGATCTATAGGCCTAAAAGCGAATTGTCAGAAAAGGCTCAAAAAATGGGACGTTTTAGAAAATACACAAACACATTAATATAAGTGCAATCAAATATTAAAAATATTTATAACGGTAACTTTTACGCATTATGCTTTTAGTTTCCCTGATGAGATATTTGCAAAATCATGCGGAAAGGTTTGACTTATCGTCAAAAGATAAGCTGTTTGCGAGTTAAACTGTGAATACTGGACTTGGGATTCCAAAAGTAGATACATTTTGGCTGTTGCACTTGATTCGGGAAAATCATGCGCCAGACGACATCCAGCTCTGGGTAGGTGTGACTGTCCTTGTTGTCATTTTCGACTATTGTAAACGCAACATTGGTACATGGCATGTATTAACACGACCGAATGAAAGATGCCCTCTTATAATGTGTGACCGCAAGAACATCCTTATTTAAGAGATTTGAAAGTTAAAGGGGCTAAACATGTTGTCAGGGTATCAAAGATTACTCAGATTTATCTCACATTGTTCGCAGGTCATGGCCTATCGCGACATAGAATGTAAAATTCGAATTCGAAAGAAGAAAAGATTGACATACCAGGGTGGGGTATGAAGATGGCTTGAAGTTCTTTCTCGTCATTACCCAGTAGGTTTGTGGTGACAAGTGTATAATTAGCGTTATCCACATGCGAAGGGGTCTTGAAGTACAAGCAGCCCTCCATGGAGTTACTCAGCGGTTCAGATTGGAAGGGCGACAGCTGCAAGAAGTCTTCGTTCTTGGTGCTGATCCCATCAGAGATGAAGAAGACGTCATTCTTGTAGAAGGTGATGTTTGGTTGAGGAATTCCCCTCACTTCAAAGTATATACAGACGTGAAATGACTTCCTCAGTTCCAAAGTAATAATTTGTGGTTTACCTGAAAGGAAGATACACCTCAAACTTTGAATATCTAAGTATAGCATTTTTGTAGGTTCTTGTATTCAGGGAATTAAATAGGGGTATACAAGTCAACGGATTGCATTGTGTCAAATCGAGTAAATGTACTGCTAATGTTTATAAGAGTCCGAGATCTTACTTTGTATGACTAGACGGACGCTTTGTACATTCTGTCCTCTCTCGTTGGAGGCGGTGCAGTCCAGCTTTCCAGTGTCCTCCCCCGTCGCTCCTGACACCTTCAGTGTCCTGCCTCCGTCAGGCTGGTCCACCACCGTGAAGTTGCTGATGCTGCCGTCCCGCTCAAGCTGCCTCGTGTCCCACTCGATCTGTGGGGCCGGCCCGCCCGTGGCCCGGCAAGTCACCTCGAACTCCCCGGTGTTGTTGAAGATAAAGTTGTGTTGACTCACTCGCGCGGTGGGTAAAGCTGCGACAATGGCGGTGGATTTTAAAAGGTTGAAGATCACGGATTACACAGTCCACCCATTCTCTTGATTTGTTAAGATCGCGACTCATCGGACATCCTCTTGTTTCTTTCTCATCCTTTGAGTTACATTTACCACTCAATAACGAACGTCTCCACCACTGCCAAACAGTGTTATGGCAAACCAACCAATACATGTATATTTCATTGTATATAATACCCATTGCAAAGGGACTTTCTATGTTGTCAAAACGTGGAGCACAGTGTAGTTCTGAGAGCATGCAACCTAGTATCTAAGAACGCGGCAACAAAGCTTTTCTAAGCATTTGAGTAGAAACAAAACAAAGTAGTACTTAGGTCGCCAGCATAATCTTCCTTAATAAAAGGAAAACCTTCAGGTACAGTGCATGCTAGGTTTATTTTATTTGCACAGCCTTCGCGGAATATGTCATCGAGCAAAACAAGCTGAGATACTTACTACACGTTCCGTTTGGTTCGGTAATGTCTACCAGGTTAGTAAGCTGGCCTGTAGTCGGGTCCCGGCAAGTCGGCGTGCCCAAGTCAATCGAAACTTGACTCGGAAGGTTCTTGGGAACCAGCCAATATATGGCGCAAGCGCAAAGTAGTGGGTTGCCCGTGACATCCCTGATTATAGTGGACAATGAAAAGAAAATAATTATGAAAGTCAACACTTGGGATGATAAACGAGGACGAGACATCGCCTCGTTCTCCTAAAGTTTTGCAAAAATAGTTCGGACTAGAGTTATTTTTTGTATGAACCCTTCAACTTCATGAAAGTAATGGAAAAGAGACGTTCGATTTTGCATGTGGCAGCATACTTCGCTGGTACCAGAGTCGTAGAATGGTCCTACGGCAAAATGCACAGAGCGTAAAGGAAATCATACTTTTTTTTGGGGGGGGGGGTGTTTTCATGGACTGTTCAAACATGTTTCCGGTCATCACTATGACGTCACAAATATGTTTGTGCCAACTACTCGTCCCTAGGTCGGCGTGCATGTACTATATGCTTCTGGGCTCTGATTTGTTACACAAAGACTGGTTCGTCATATACTTCGTGATTGGGTCTAGGGAACAGGTAAAAGAACACAGCATAATTGGTTCCCACTGCAAGTGGCAGAACAACACAATCATTTAACCGGCTGCAGTGTACCAGTCAAATTACCTCTGGCCATCTTTAGGCCTATGACGTGCTAATACGGCACAATATCACTCATTAGTCGAAAAGAGCAGCCATAAATTACTGGGACATACTCCTTATGTCATGACATAAGGTTTATAGACCTACTTAAGTCCGTCAATAATAAAAATGAAGTAATGTTGCATGATAAAGGAATGGAGTACCGGTATAGTGGTCTGGACGGTGAAATTTGCTTTATCGCTGTAATTGTCACACACTAACTACTCACAGTTTTTTCAATGCGTTGATAATATTTTTGAAGGGCTTCCATGGCAACGTCTCTAGCTTATTTCTGCTGAAATCTCTGAAACAAGCAAACAGACCAAGTTCAATGATTTCAACTTGACATTAAGCGATGCAGCTGATGTGTTAGCATAGCGAGAAGAGCCGGGTTACGGGCTCATCAGAATACCCTGCATGATATATTGATCAGATTCGCCATTCAATGCTTGCTGTGCACTTGAGCCTAGCCTTGTAAATAGGTAAGATTGGGTAGCTAGCCTGGTATAGGTCTTTACATGTGGCAGTCACAGCACACACACAATTCCGACACTCAGTGATCGATTAAGCATCGTTCCAACCTCTCACTGTTGGCGAGCGATCCCGCCGTGCATTTCCTGTCCATTATGCATTTCGGTTGAGTACCGAGAATTCGTCACTGCAAAGGAGGTTGTCGACGCATACACATATGGCGTCATTCGTTTTGACATATTTTAATATTAACCGTGAAAGAGACATTAGTTCAAACAAAATACCGTATATTTGAAAATTATAGTGAAAAAATAATTCGATCAACAAAAATAGATCGTGTGATCATTAATACTGTATTGTCTTGTTCGCTAAAAAAATTTAATATAAAAGTATCGATAATATTGGGGGATAAGGTTCATTCTTATGCTCTCCACAAAAGCATTTACTTACATCTGAAAAAGGTTCGGAGTTTCCAAAAAGGCATCATCTGCTATGTGCCGTAAGCCACTACGAGATAATTCACTGCAAAAAGACAAAAAACACGAAAGATGTTCAACAACGACATCTTAACCTTCTGGCGTCATGAGGCCTATGGGTAACTCCACCTTGGTTTAAGCACAAAGTACCCCATGACTACCTTAATCATGGTACGTGACGAAATCACAATAAAAGTGATTTGGAACATATCTTTTCTGGCTCAATAAAAGTCTCCTCGGCCTTCTCTGTTAAGCGGTTTTGCGTAGGACTTGCAGGGGAACTTTACGTCGTAAAGCACAGGATATATTTACATATCAACATAATTATCAACGGAACGGCTCTGATGAGCTTTGACTGCCAAATAACGAAATGTGAGCAAGGGCGGATCCAGGGGGGGGGGCCCAAAGGGGGCCATGCCCCCCCCCCCCCGAAAAAAAAAACGAAACCATTTTTTTTTTAAATTTTATGTGACATTGCAATAAAGGCAGGCAATGCGTACACCACCATCTTTTCCTCAAAATAACATTGGTTAAAGTGGTCAGAAATTGCCTCAGATCGCACCACAGTGCATCTAGAATCCAAAAAAATTTCGGGGCCCTTAAGCGGGCCCCGAACCCCACGCCGTAATTTTTTTGACCCACTTTTTGGGGGACCAAAAATTGTTTTGGGCCCCTCCCAAAATTGTGTTCTGGATCCGCCCTTGAATGTGAGGACCATCGTGCCTCTCCTTTATCGCCCTCTACCGGTGTCAATGAGGCCGTACGTGAAGGTGATCGTACAGGAAGTGTCAGATGGCAGATTAATATTTAAAAAATCAATTCTTAAAGAGGATAACAAAACTCAATACATGCAGCAGTTCACCACTTCGTTTATTTATATTCATGTTTTTATGGTAAAATTTTAAGTGACAACGGCGACGTATAAGCCTACCTAAAAGTTTGATGTACTTCGTGGACAGCGATGTTATAATGAGTTACACCCAGTGTTAAGTCTCAGTACTTATTATTGTCGGACGGTACGAAAGTTAGGTGAATATGTTCCGATACAAAATTCTTCATATTGAAATGAAATACACATATATAAGTATAGGCATTTCTTTGAATGGTTATCCCTGTACAAGGAGCTGGAGCAGCCAGAAACATATTGAAGTAGAACATCAAAGTTCAACTATAGAAAACAACAGCAGACAAACAACGTACCAACCTACAAACAACTATATTTAACACTGAATTGAATTCTGTATTCACGACCGCGCAAGAAACGATCCAAAAGAAATCCAGTTTTAAGTGGTAGCTTATGCTTTATCGCGTCAGTAAACTTCCCAGAGTGGTTTGTTTTTGTCTCAGCCCTTGAAGAAAATCGGCTGAGGGCATGAGAGACGAGACATAATTGGCGTTTGATGTCTTCGCTTTACGTTAGCGCCGACCCTGGCCTTTCAGTATAACGTCTGCCATCAATTCAGCCCTTCGCCTTTCATCTCGTCAAATCTAAACGTTAATTTCCCTGGATTTTTTCCTACTTTAGGGGGATGGCGGAAGATCTGTGCTTGTTTGTGAACTGGGATCCTGCGATAAACAGGGTCTATCGGCGCCGGGGTCTGAGCAGCGTGATGGCAGCGGGTTGGTGATCGGGGATGATGAAGACAAATGCCCCACTGTCAGAACCTCGCTAACCGCCATCCATAACCCATCAGTCTATAGTAGCTGTCGAATGTTTTATCTGTAACAGCCTCTTCTGTAGACCGAGAATTTGTAAGTAAGAGGCTCTTACATGGTCAGCTTATAAAACTCATTCCTACGGTCTGACAAAGTCGTCTGGTCGATATTCTTGAAACAACATGTTTTCCCGAATAAGTGTGTCAATGAAATCACTTTGCATATTTCGTCCTGTATAGATGTTTTTGTCAGTGTATTCTTTCGCTTCCTCGAAGTTCCACACTGAATGCAAACGTTGCATCGGTTCCATCCTTTCATTTGAGTATTAAAAACAGATGCCGAAGAACGAACTTTTAAAAACGAGAAATCTTCGTAATAACTTTAGACCTCAACAATTAATGGTTCACATCTTCACAAAGAAGCTGTGTCATTTGACTTTTGCGATTGGAGCAAATGATTTTCAAAACAAATTACAAAAGCCAAAATGTCTCAAAGTCTTATCATACTTACAGTGTTTCCAAATGTTCCATATCTCTGAACGAATCACCTGTCAGCTCTGTAAAATTCCTTTGGTTGCGAATAGTCCTAGAAAAGATAAGCAGACAAAAAGTGTTATAAGATCAAATAGCTGCTGAACGCTAGCAAAGCACTGATCAAAACGTGCTTAAGGGAGTGTTTGAAAAATGTATTATGTCTATTTGTGGGCTCCGTGCGCCAACAAAGAGGGCGCTCTTTTACATAGCAACGACGTCACATGGGCGGGACATTTAGCTGGTTGACGCGCACCGTTCCTTGTGTGTGACGCACGTACACCAGGGGATTTGTACTATGTACATGCAGTGGTACGGCCGCGCGTCGCATCAAAATTGCAGTCAGGCAAGATGGCGTCGGTCAGTCACCCCCAACTGTACTTTTTTTGCTGGTGAGAGGGTACTTGTGAACGGAGCGGATAATGTTCTTGCTGTCAACTTAATAATCTTTTTAATGTGGTTTTTAATTCAGCAATTGAGATTTCATGCATCACACAGACCTGCCCCAGCGTGTATCACAATCTCTGTTGCTATGCTTCATTTAACAGTTTACATTTTGTATTTTTTTGGTAACAATCCAAACGTATAAAGAAATTTCTTATTTGCCTAATATTTTTTTTTTTTAATGTTAATAAATAAATTTATGAAATACGCAATAATAAAATGCAACATTCCCCATGAATTTAACAAATATTTTTTTGTTCACAACCTCCAAAAACACAACTTAAATGTTACCACATGAAATGCAGACGAACAAGTAGGGCCAAATGTATGTAACTAGAGAAAATCTAGAAACGTTTGAGAAAGGTAGACATTTTATGCAAAGTTTGAATGTTATTTGCTTTCATTAAATCCATTTATGTGCGGGTCTGTTAAATGCATGTATAGTGCCGTGGCCGCGTGGTCTGGTGCATTGCATCCGTGGTCTGCGGGTAATTCTGCAGGTTGTGGGTTCGAGTCCAGCCTGGGGCTATGGTGCATGTGCCCCGGGCAAGGCACTTTGTCACTCATTGCTTCTCCCCACCCAGGAGTAAATGGGTACCTGTGAGGGCAGAGATGGTCATTGTGATGGATTGTAGCTGCCTTGCACCAAAATGGCAGCATCGAGCTGTATACTCCCCAGGGAGCTGAGATGGTATTTGGAATGTTTCATTGGCCCAACGAGCAGGGTAGTAATGATGTAGCGCCTTGAGCACCAATATCGGTGGATGCGTGCGCTTTATAAATACCCATTTTTATTATTACATGTATACTGAACCGTCCCACTTTTTCGAGGCATTCGATTTTGGCTCTTTATCCATTTGGCGTGTCTTTTATGCCCCTATAGCGCCCTCTAGAGGTTTTGTAGGCCTAGTCTCAAGTTACACTCTTGCAAGACACACAACGTCCCGCTGTAGCGGCCTGGAACACAGAATGCATCGGCATCCCACAGGTTGAACAACCTTTAAGACTTGAGGTGCTTAGCCTCTACACGACCTTATTGACGAAGGCATGGAATGGCAGAATCTCTGAATTCCCATCGCTTGCCTTTAGAATTCATTCCTGCATTATTTAGGCCTAGGCCTTTACTCCGGGGCACGGTTAGTCAGGTTCCTAGAAAGTGATTTTTAGTGCCGAAGTGCTGGCGTGCGCAAGCGAGGTGTATGAAACGTGATGACTGCGTACGAGAGAGAGAGAGAGAGAGTCAACAATCCAATGGGACTGAAGTACTGGCCCGGCCTCGTAAAAAAAAACACCCACCGATTTAACAGCCGAACATGCCGCTGAAACCCGATACCGGACGGCCGGTTTCACCGCGCGTTTATTGCCTGACACGTGGACATCTAAAAGATGGAATAAAAATGATCGGCAATCGATCTATAGCGGCGAGAAGATGAGTGTGAACCAAAGCATAAGAACAGGGGATAAAGAGGGGGGGTAGCTCGCAGAGAAATCCCATTGGCTCAACCTTTCACTAGGGAATTAGAGTTCTGCGAACTTATGTTGAAAGGTTTTAGTCTTGATTGGTATAGGGCCTACTGTCATCGTACGCAGTTAACGTCAAGGGAGACGCTGGGAGAGTTCACGGGCTCGCCTGCCTTAGCTTCCCACTCTCGGCCAGGTATGATGGTAATTCACGTAGGATTACATGAGGTGACGAAGAGGTGGCGTTGACGCACGCACTATAACGCCTACTAAGGAGCGGCACCAAGGCGTGCAGAGTGTAAACAGAGAGATGAACCCCCGTTATTCATGTGTTGAGACTACCGGCGGTTTATCACACCTCGGTGTTTTCGAGTCAATAAGTTATGTATTTATGTTTATCCTAATGGCAATTCCGTGTGAACAATACCTGAATGTTTACCTTTCCCTCCAGATGAATTTTAAATACTTTTTTTCTCATTAATTAAGTCGTCATCTTCTCACATTTTGCTCACATCCGTGTACCTATTTCTGATAAAGATTCATCACTTCATTAACTTCTGTTTGATGTCTTCCTGTGTTGTCTGCATTTATAAAGACATTATCATTAAAGCCTGACTGCATTCTTGTATATGTTTTACCCTTATACGAAACAAGTCCACATTTCTTCGTTATTGCATAACACCTGCTACACATTTCCTTAAAGAAACCAAATTTTGTAACCCGTGATGTTTTCGCAAGATGCGACTGTAAAGTATGAAGACGGCAGTGGGTGTGGGACACTCCGTGTAAGGGAAAGTGATGCAAACAAACCTCTGAAGTGATTGCTCTGCATTCGGGGTAATAACGGTGCGCGTTGATTCCATTCCTTATTGTACAATTATTGGAGAAGAGGAAGGTAGTAAACGTCTTTGTTACAATTTAAAATTAGTTCACGTGCTTTCGTTTTCGTCACTGTTTGAAGCCTTGTTCTTTGATCTCCCCTGGACATCTTGTTCCCTAATTGACATTCAACGACTGCGCCTCCAGCGTAAACATGCCTCGATATCGAAGGGGCAGACAACAAAGTTCACAACTTCTGGCGACAAGCCGTGTGAAGCCAGCGCGTAAACCTATCTGCACTCTCCACACCATTTTAGCAAGTACAATTTACAGGCAGCCGGGGGCTGTTGTCCGTCACCCTCTCGGTTAAGAGGGGAAATTCAAACTTTGCCGGCGCACTTTGGGACTCGATCCCCTCCCTGAAGCATAGTGGTGCAGTCTCAGGCTGAAGCTGAAAGTTGAGGTGATACTTGTGGGGACGCGATGCTGTCCTGCTCTCAAACCTGGACAACCAGCCGTCTCAAGACGTACGAAGGGGAGCGTAGTATGTTCTCAGCCCGGCTCCAGATATTCCTCTTCAAGCTCGTCCAACGAGAAACGCTAGTCTCTTTCTCATTAGGGCCTTGAGCCGCCTGGGGTCATGTTTCATCCGACGTCATTACTAGTCCAAACCTAGCCGAGTAAAGCAAACACGCTGCGACAGGCCAGCGGCTGGTCGTGTCCCCAGGGCCCTGTCCCTTCGATATCGTTGGATAATTTCGTTTGCTACCAATAATGATGTCACCTCAGACTAGCTCTGTGCAGCGATGATTTCAAACTGACTTAACTATCCAACAACGATATAGCTTCGAAAATTATACCCAATCAGATTGTAACAGAAATAAAATTACAACTTGCAAATCAAATCAAGAGCCGTACCCATCGCTATGGATCGATCATACAGTGCATACGAAATACTACTCCACACACTACATGCTCGCATAGTGACTTTTTTTTGGCTACGTTCGCTACTGCACGAACTAACAATTTTCCAATAGGGCAAACCTACCCTCCGGTGCTGTGCACTAAAAGCCCACAGACAAAGATGTAATAGCCCCTCCCCAACGATATCATAGTTTTTCTGTGTGTTATGGTGTAATTCCGGTATAGGTATATTGATAACTTGTGTTGATGCAATAATTATTTGTTCGTTTATTTCATATATGGAATTTGCTTCAGACTCAAATTCCTAAGTCCGATATTGATTAGGCAATGTCATTACATTTTGTTTCTTCTGTTTGTGCTGATCTTGTGTATGGTCCTTTGATGTGCATTTTGTCATGTGTATTATTTCACGTAATTTCAAGCCCGTACTGGACTCATTAATGATACATGAGTTTAAATGTTTTGTTTCTAAACAGATCGGCGTGAGATGGCTGTAAATGCATGTGACAGACCTAATTTTGTTTTTGCGTTATTGTTGACACGTTTTCATGCGGCTCCTTTGTTAGTTTACTATTAACCTTACTAATACTTGTATTATTAGCCAAAATGACAAAGAACAATGGAATATTTCTGCGTCTTTATCACTGTTTTCTCTCTATTAGGTAACAAAATTTGGTTCTTTTTTGGTTATTAAAATAAACTTTTGAAAAAGTTTCCTGGGGCATTTGACACATTTTACCGAGCGAGACGGTTACGATTACGAGCCCAAACAATTCCATTCTCAAATTACGGAGTAAATAAAATAAAAGACGAGGGAAAAATCGTTATCAATTACCAGGGTCGCGTAGAGCTATAGGTCTGCGCGACAGCAAGCCCAGAGGAGTTGTTTTTATTTTTCTACTGGTTTTTATTTGGCCGCAATCCCCCCGACTCGCATTCGATTGAAATTCACGGTTGTGATCTGCGTGCGTCATTCGGGCAAAGCGCTCCCTGGATGGTACACAATAATGACGAGGGAATCGTATATCGACGCAGTTAGTGGCGCGCGCAGCATGGGGTCCTTCGCCCGACCGGCAACTCCGCAGTTTACACATTGGTATCTCGATACTTACTGTTCTACCTTAAACAAAACATATGAGTACGACCCTTCAAACGCACATTAATGTATGTCTATATGTCAGGCCATTGGCAATATGATTTACAAAAATAAAGAACGTGAAAAGCTGAATGATTAGTGCTGTCACTGCAACACAAAGCATCGTAGATATCCACAATTAATGAGTAAAATTAATTACAATGAGTGGGATAGAAATGCCGCCTTCACCAGAGGAAAACTATCAAATCCCATTGTTGTCGGAGAAGAGATACATAATTACACGATTTTCAATACCAACTCTAAGT